GTGCTATCCAGGTGTTGTACAACACATTGGTCTTGTTCCTGCCTTGGAGACTGGAAAGACATGGAAGGCTATGGACACTGAGGGCAGCCTGACCATGCGTCGTACATCACGCAAGTGTTCTTTACGCTCAGATACTAGGACCGGCCGAGCCGAAAATGGGCCGCGGCTCAGCCGGTGTTTCGCTACAGAGATTTTGGTCCGCGACTCAGCCGGTGCAATCATATCGACATGAATTAAGGTCCGCGGCTGGGCCGGTCTTCGGCCACGCCCCCAAATTAAGGCCGCGGCTGGGCCGGTAAGCCATATTCAGTCCGCGGCTCAGCCGGTGCAATCATATCGACATGAATTAAGGTCCGCGGCTGGGCCGGTCTTCGGCCACGCCCCCAAATTAAGGCCGCGGCTGGGCCGGTAAGCCATATTCAGTCCGCGGCTCAGCCGGTGCAGTCATATCGACATGAATTAAGGTCCCCGGCTGGGCCGGTCTTCGGCCACGCCCCCAAATTAAGGCCGCGGACGGGCCGGAAAGGCCTTTTGAGCCCGCGGCCAGCCGGTCCCAGTGTCTGAGTAGCTGATGTGTTCTGTATAACACACTCCAAAAGGCGCTATTTCGCCTCAGGCTACAGCAAAGCCTAGAACCACCGTAACGTTTGAAAAGCATCAGTCATCAAACTGCTTCAACAAGCAACTGGTGTGAGGAGTTTGCAAGCCTTTGTTTATTTCAAATGATAGTCCTAGAATTCACTGAGTCTTTTCGACAAAACTTGATTTTCAAGTGGAGAACACTGCACAATCATAGCCACCTTAAATCACGAGATCGAACAGGAGACCGCTCAAAACTTTGAAATCTTAACTAATTTGAGCTGTGGTGTAAAATGTGATATGAAATAGAAAGAGAAATAGTGAGATTTGCAACTATGGCGAATCTTCTACTCGCAGGAAATTTCCATGGAAAGTTTTTCAAATCTAAATGGCGACTGCATCACTAGGAAAAATTTGGAAGTTGTGCAAAAGCTGCAACACCATGTAGGCAATGTAACAAATCGAGTCCAGAACTTCACGAACATTGGAAAAAGAGTTTTGTAGATATAAACCATGATAATCCTATGGCGAGGTTGGAGAGTCCGTCTCAGAATCAGCGACTCATAGCAGAGTCTATAAAAGCGCTCTCTACCTTCTTTATCGAAAAGGGTCAGTGGATTTTATGACCATCATTTGAAATGAGTAACAGCGCGAAAACTCCTCAAGCCACCTGTCTGTTGAAGCAGATTGACTTTTGACCGCTTCTGAAGGCAACGAAAGCAGTGATCACTTCCCTCTGAATAAAATGAGAGGTCGTAGGTGTTGCAATTTTTAATATTTTAGGATGTAACTGTACAAAAAAAATTTAGAGTTAATGAGGTTAAGTTAAGTTAAGGAATGCGATATTATTCAAAAAAAAACCAGGTGGCTTTATAACTATGTCCAGCACACAGTACGGGCTTTTTCGAATTCTTCTAATCAACAGCAACTAAATTACGATGATTTCTAGAGTGGCTCAATAATTATGTCCGGAACTGTAGGCTTTTAAAAATGTGCAAGTGACATGTCTTGCAAATGAAGAGAATAATTTTTAAAAGTCTTCAAAAATTTGAATAGACGTTGCAAAAACTTTTTTTGGGGTGTGGCTGCCGCAAGCTTCCTTCCCCCCTTTTTCCAAACTTCGCGGTTGTGGGCCAACAAAAGGAAGGCATCTCGAAAAGGATTTCGGGGTAAGGGCTACGTTGCTTGAAATCCTGCAGTCGCTGATGCCGAATATCAAATAATTGCCATGGTAGCGCGCGAAAATTTTTGAAAGCATCCAAAAATGTTTTCGGAGTGCGTGGCTGACGCCACGCATCATTAGAAAATTTTTTGTTGCCCTTCCCCCCCCCCCCCGAGCCGAAATCATGGGTACGCCGCTGAAATACTGGAATAGGTCCCTTTTTTTCTTAGAGGCCTGCAAGTGGTTCGAACGTCATCCTTAGCCCCAAACCAACAAGCACCTTTCTAGACTGTCCTACCAGAAAAATCGTCAGGACAGAAGAGCATAGCGAGAGGCCACCGTTGTTCATTGACGCACATCGAATCTGGCCTATAACAATATGAACGGAAAGAATCGGATGTTATTGACAAGCACTCATTCTTACTATCCACTCCCGAATTCTCTGCAGATGTCCAGGAGGCTTGCAACGCTTTGCTGGTCGAGCTCTCCTTCTCGCAGATCAGAATTTCACATTTGTCTCGACTCGTTCCAATCATTCGCATCGAACTGTGCTTGAATAAAGTTACAGACAAGGGTTTGCGTATATATCTGCCAGGTGTCCTCTAATGAGAAAAAAAAGTGCTCTTCCGGTTTCCCCATAGAGCGCATTGCAATTAGGATAGTTTGATTCATAAACTACTCCCACGTTTGCACAATGTCAATGAACACTTGTTTTTACCATGCGGGCAGAGTACACAATGTCCTGTTATACAGACCATTTGAACCATCTATGAAACCTGTGTGGCTCAGAACACTGAAAGTATACAGTGGATGCCCAGGTTTGAAGAAAGTGGATCTTGGAATTTGTTATAAGCACATTTCGACCGTCAACGCAAAGCGTGAAGCGTGAAGCCAACGCTTTTAAACACCTGATCGGAGCTTTTGCTGGTTATTCAAGTAACGAATCACCCGAATTGCGAACTTGCGCAGTCCCATGTGGAAAGTGCTGTAGAAGAATCTAAAACGTCTGGCGCCCAATTCATGCGGAAGTTTCTTTCCACCCGAACTTCTGCATGAAGAAAACCTTATAAGACCGAACTGTGGGCTGAGCGAGCAAAGACCTGCCAGTTACTGAGTTGCCTAAAAATTAGTTTGGTCGCTTATGCGCCATATTCGCTATCTTTGGAAAGAGCATTGCAATGAGCCTCCACCATTACTTATTTTGTGTGAGTAGAATTTATTTTTCATTGAAGAAAAGGCGCAGAGAAGGGTAGTACCCTAATTATTTCGAGGTTGCAAGTGCGAAAAAATTTTGTTTCTCAATAACAGAAATCCAGAATGACAGATCCAATTGCATTGTTATTCATTAGATGAAGATAAGATGTCTCTAAATAATCTGATAATATTAATAAATAATCTGTCCTTTAGCATTCGTCATCTCTATCCATCACAGCATGAAAACGGCATTTGAATAATTAAAGATCTGAGTTTTGAAAAATTAAGGCACGTCACGGCATAATCGTCCCTAACTGATAGTGAAATCTGCGAATAATCATTTTAACGCAAAAAACGAGATATTGAAGAACGAAACAAACTTTTGTGAAGAATTGCATCAAAACAAATTCATTTTCTAGCCAACCTAACAGCGCCCACATATGAGCTCATGAGTCATTAATTACAGATAATAAAAACACATTTTAAATTCAAATAGTTGTGCCCATCAAATGACTTAAAGACTGTCGACTCACTCAAACAATAAGTTGCATTATCTCAATTAGATTGTAACGGCAGTATTTACGATTCAAGAGAGATACATGCTAGTAGCACTTCATGCATACGACATAAAGATTATTATGAGACGAACTTCATAGTGCTACAGAGCGAAACCATGACAATGAAAGCAATGAGGAGTTAAATGAAGGGATGAAGCCAATGATTACGAAGGGAAATTCGATGTAGGTAATCAGCCGTGATTATCGAAGCTCGAAGTGCAAATGAGCACAAACGCATATGCGAATCACAGGAAACACCATGACGGCATGTTATTATTGAGACCTCTTGGGCGCGATAAACGTTGTTTAAACATTTCTTTTGTCTTGCTGCACTCCTTGCCTCAGCGAACTATTTTCATTGGAACTGGATAATTTTTTATTTTTGAATGCTCATAACTCTTTCAAGATAGTCAGATTCGGCAGATAATGAACAGGTATTCGAAATCGGCGTCTCAAGGCGAGTACGATGATTTAAGCTTGTTTAAAACGGCTGGGTCAACTTTTGACCATTTTCTCGTTATCATTGTTGGGTTAGAAGTTTACACAACTCGGACTGTTTTTCCACCAACTTCAAAGAAAGAAAAATTACTTCGAAGATGGTTGGCCACGTGATTACAAGGGATCATGCAAAAAGCACAAACTGCTTCTCCTAAAACAACGCGCTCCTTTTCGGCATAATATTAGTGAAGAATGATAGGAATATATGGATGGATAGACAGCTGAAATTAGAGATGTGGATTTTCGGGATATTGACCTCACTGTCAAGCTGCGATCCTCTGCCCGGGGATATTAGTCGTGCGAAATTTTCAAAAATGAAATTGGCTTCATTTCTCTGAATACACTAACACATCTCCGTGCTGACATGGTTGACATTGCAGTAAAAATTTGATTTTTCGGTTAGCATAAGCTCTTACGCCTTCTTTCCAAACTCTTACCAGCTCGAAACCACGTGATCCTCATCTTTTTCGCTGCAGGTCACCCTACTGGTACAGGGAGCTTACCCGCTTGTGTCCAGACAAATGAGTTCGTACCTGCTCGCGCAGAAGAGCACGAAATTGGCACGCTAGCCTTAGCTTTTTCAAAGATGCAAAAACGCCCTATGTAATCTTTTGCTTTCCTGAGCTCGTGTTCCGGTTCAGCGCGGCAAGAAGCTTCAAGAAAAGCGAAGGTTAACACCAAAAACATTGCCTTTGCGAACACGATGTATTGAAAAATGAAGCTCAAATCCTATAAACCTCCATTTCGTTCCTAGGTTAACTCTTCTCACCTACTTAACTCTAGCATATAATGTATTTAGGCTATGCATTAAGACTGAAGTTCTGTAAAGAATTCTTACAATTGTTAACAGACCACTTTAGAGTTCAATAGTGCGCTAGTGCATTGTAATGCCAAGTAAGACGATTACGCACCACTAGAAAACTAGTTCATTGCTGAAACAGCTTTTCACACTACTGAGGGGATGATTCAGTTCACGGTGTAAGCTGCTGAGATTTAACTGCACCAAAACGCTCTAATCTTTATTTTGCACAGAAGCGAAACTATTTAACTATAAAAACAATTATCATGATACTGAATTATCGAAAAAAAATTATTCCAGCAGTTTTCTTATTCAATTTGAATGAGGATTGATATGTCAGTTGCATCGCACACAATCGCCGTTTGCATTTCTTCGGAAGCCTTTGTGCGGCGGGCATTGGCATTGCGGTGGTTTGCAAATTCGAGGACAAGGCTAAAAAAAACTCAGAACTTCAGTGAACGCGTAAAAACAAAACATCCAACATGGTCACTAGTCAATTAAATCGAGCTACGACAAAAAGATCATTGGCATTAGTAGCACAATCTCACGGGGAAAAGTACTTACCGTTCTTTTTTCACCGCATTTATGCTCGCATGTGCCGCAAATCATCCACACTTCATTAGCTCCACCTATAAGCCAAGACGATAAAGTAATCAGAATGAACATATGGAGAAGGAGAAAAAAGTCGCGAACAAGTCTATTTCGCTCTCACTTTCGTGTCGTAGTGAATTTATGGGAATCTTGAATGAAATGTTTCTAGTTGGCGAATTTTACAAGCAGCTAATAGTACAAGTAAAAAGCGACAGTGGGTGGAAGGTTTGTCCTAGAGCAATATGCAGATGTGCTTGATGGTGACTAATGGAATATTGTAGGATGGAAGACGCTTTAGCTGAGTATAGTATGCTGGTATTTATAATTCATTTCAAGGTGGAAGCTCGTACACATCACTATTTGTAACTGCATGCGTTGTAAGAAAACAGACTGTAACTAAACTTACATTTATGCGTTTCCACTGTTTCTTTCAGCACTTCAGCACTATCATCATAAATCTCCTCCTCAACTTTTAAACTAGTGACAGCAGCAATAAGTGTCTGAATGATTGACAATCAATACAAATCAGAGTTCAGGCGCTCGTGTAACTTAGTGCCTTGATGGCGGTGTTGCGCATTATGTCAAGGACAGACGATAAAACATAGAAATAATCAAAATATGTTCGCTTACAAAAATCAATAAACTCGTTGCTATAATTGATTAAGAACTAACCAGAATCAAGATCTTACGCAACATGGTTACTTCTGCGTTGTAAGCAAGAACTCGTACAATCTAATGAATGATGTAGTATGGCATCGCGTCGTGCTATGGGCGGAGTGCGCAAAACTATTACACTTACAGTTTCTCGTGTACAGAACAAATGCTTGGTTTTCTATACCCAAGATCAGACTATCTTAGTGGGAAAATGAGAACTTCTTGGAATCTATAAGGTTTGAGCTTCTATCTGAATAATCGCAGAATGTTTCGCGCACAATTGAAAAATATTTGTTCTTACAGAATCATGTAAACCTAGCAATTTTGCTGCTGTTTTTTAGAACTAATTTATTCCCTTTTTTGAAATCTGGACTACATTCCGATGGAATTAAGAGTGGTTTTTCCAAACAGTGAAAAAGGCACTTCCCCATTCTAAGTGCAATTTTCCCGTTTCGAATGGGATTTATAACGCAATGGCCATTATGTAATTGTCAATCAAATTTTTTCTTTTCTTAATTTAAATACTATTGATCGCACCAGACTTGTCTAACTATTAAGTTGGCTAATGATTGCAGTCGAATTTGAAGGTTTGTAGAAGCGACAGACAAAGTCTAAATAAATGTGTGGTATAGGGAAAGAATAGACCAAAGAGAATCAAATGCTCGACTCTTCTAAAGTAGACATTATCGCCTTTTGATGACTGATTAATGCAGGAGGATCGAATTGCGAGATTTTTCCAGATTTTTGAAAAAAAGCATGTTTCAAAAAAGGATCGAAATCAAATATAAAATAAACTATCGTCATTTCTGATTTTGATAGTTACAACCATATGAACGGCCGTAGATGGCAAACTCAGGCAGGCTAAACTGCCCACAAATTGACTTCCAAACATCAGGAATATGCACAATTTCGGCTCCAGATATCATCTGCGGATCGCAGCCTACATTTGAATCATCTCGTAGCTAACATCCATATGTAAACACTAGATTACTAGTTTGTGCACAAATTACCGCATAGAATATAAGTTGAAAAATCGCGACTTTCCGAAAGCAAACTTCAAAAGGATGAAAGGACAAAGGATCAGAAGTCTTCAATACCCCGTACGGGCATGCTTCAAACGCAATCCACCTCACAGTCGAAGAGGCAAATGAATGCGTGCGGGCCTGTTACAGTGACTTGCAGGGGCCAGCCGATCCAAGTCAGTGCTTTTATCCTAGATTACTCTGGTACCAATTTACCGACCCCGGAGGGTAGAGGATTCGTTGACCCACGCGCGTAATCGAACCTGGTTTGATCTAGTCATAGTGGTGCCTCAGACCACTATGCCACTCATCCACAGGCTAGCTATACAAGAGCGTAATTGCCTTCTCCTGTTGAAGAATCTTGAAAAATACAGAACAGTTATGATTCAAGTCCAAGTGTAGGCAAAGTAGGCAAAGTAACGTGACAAGCGAGACATGATTGATACTATCTACTGCTCAGACTTCGTGACGTTCCTACAACATATAAATCAATTGCGCTGCTGTCTAGATCAAAGCTGTGGCTACTACGATTAGGCATACAAAAATTTTATCTACAAACCCACATCGCTGTTTTTGCTACCAGTCCAATACACAATAGCAATAAAATTCGCTGGCATAAACAACGAGTAGGAATATCTGACAAGGACCACAGTTACATGTTATACGAACTAATGCAGGTGGGGCCTACAATTGGTCCGAGGTGATACTGAGTATAAAATAATGACCTTGAATCTTCGCGAGACTGTGCCTGAGCAACACAGTCATTCAAAGGGGGGGGGGGGGAGGGGATCAGCTCAAACGTTTGCTTGCGGGAAAACTTATTTACAGTTGACTTTGGATTTTCCCGGAACGTTTCAGTTGTTTGGTGGGCTGACTAAGATTGATTGGAGTTTGAATGACTCTTTATCGATTTTATCTCCGCAACCGATATTCGAGAGAAACACGCTAAATAGTACCTACAAAAAAAGGTTTCTTCTTTGTAATACAACTGAGCAAAGCAAATCTCTTAGACTGCGAAGCTACAATTTTTTGAAAACGAAACGAAAGAACTTTTGGACTAACCTAACATTATTCGAAAAAAAGTCCTGCGATCAGTCTCAAATGTCGAAATAAATTTCTCCAGATCCGAATTACTTTACAGTGCATGAAATGAACTATGTCGTGATAACCGAGAATTGCGAACCCATCAGACCGTGAATTTTTTTGAATCGAAATTTCAAAAGTACTAATTCTATCCCCATGACTTCTCTCATTTTCCAATTGCGAAACTTCTGAAACTGTGACTTTTTTAGTAGTTGGCTTGTCCTCTTTTGTTGAAACCTCGGCATCGTGAAGTATGTGATAATGTTTTCTTATGCCATACGAGGTTTGGTGAAGCTCTTTATTGCGGCCTTACGTTTGGAAACGTAAGGCCGCAGTGTGACTTTTTTATTCGTGTATAGCATCCATGAACCCCCCCCCCCCCGGAGACTCGAGAAAACTAGAAAACCGTGAACTTCCTTGAATTTGCGACCTTTTAATTTACAAGATCTTTTACTGATATCTGAATCCGAGAAGTTCCGAAAACCGCGATTTTCAAAAGTTGCATACCCTCGATACATAGAGCCACGTAGTCTGGTGACCTTCACTTTAAAGGCTATGAGGAGTCACAACCTTCACCTGGAAAAAAACGGAAGTCATCCTGGGCTTCGCCCTGGATGTTGTTATCTTGACTATATCGGAACGTATGTTAATGAAGCAAATATCATCTTATATATAAAGCTGAATGTCTGTTTGTATGTCTGTCTGTATGTATGTATGTATGTACGTATGTTCCGAATAGAAAATTCCATTTCTGAACCGATCCGGACCAAACTTGGCACACATACACTACGGGCCCCGGCGGGTGTCATAGGCTACTTTTCGTCATCGATCGATATCGATTTTATCGATTTTTATCGATTTTTTTGCTGAGTTCACCTACGGGGCTGGGAGTTGGCACAGGGGGGTAATCGAGCATGGGGATTCCGAATACAATATTGGTTTTCAGGATTATCGATTACTTTTATTGATTTTATCGATTTTTTGTAAATTTTGACATGCGAGGCTGGGATTTTGCACAGGAGGTAATCGAGCATGGGGATTCCGAATACAATATTGGTTTTCAGGATTATCGATTACTTTTATCGATTTTATCGATTTTTTGCAAAGTTTGAGCTACGGGGCTGGGAGTTGGCACAGGGGGGTAAACGAGCATGCTGATCACCCCCAAAGGGGGTGATCAGCATGCTCGATTACACTCCTGTGCCAAATTCCAGCCCCCTAGCTCAAATTTTCAAAAAATCGATAAAATCGAAAAAGTAATGGACGATCCTGAAAACTAATATTGTGTTCGTAATCTGCATGCTCGATTACACCCCTGTGCCAAATTCCAGCCCCCTAGCTCAAATTTTCAAAAAATCGATAAAATCGATAAAAGTAATGGACGATCTTGAAAACTAATATTGTATTCGTAATCTGCATGCTCGATTACCCCCTGTGCAAACTCCCAGCCCCGCAGGTCAAACCTTACAAAAAAATCGATAAAATCGATAAAAGTAATGGACGATCCTGAAAACTAATATTGTGTTCGTAATCAGCATGCTCGATTACCCCCTGTGCAAAATCCCAGCCTCGCATGTCAAAATTTACAAAAAATCGATAAAATCAATAAAAGTAATCGATAATTCTGAAAACTAATATTGTATTCGGAATCCCCATGCTCACTTCCCCCCTATGCCAACTCCTAGCCCTGTAGGTGAACTCTGCAAAAAATCGATAAAGATCGGTAAAATCGACATCGATCGATAACGAAAAGTGGACTGTGACACCCGCCGGGGCCCGAAGTGTATGTGTGCCAAGTTTGGTCCGGATACGGCGGAGCCGGGTAAGCCAGCTAGTAACTTATAATAACGGGCTAAGGGTGTTTACGTGACTTTGTGCGTGTGTGTGTCTGTCTGTCTGTCTGTAACGAAATTCATATAGCGGGTTCCAGCCAACATCCAGAGCTCAAATTTTGCATAGCGCATGCTACCAATGTAGAACTCCACCATCCAAAAGCACGAACGGATTCGCTGGGTGGGCCCCTCAGAATTTGCGCGTCAAACGGATCCACTTGGCTTCTGGCCCGCAAAATTGGGTCCGTATCAACGCTTTTTGCAAAGCCGTGGATGTGTTTAGCAGGTTGATGTGTAAGTCATGGACTTTAGACCAAAAAGTGACCAAAGGTTTGCTACTTTACGAAAACGACGCCAGAAAGAAGTCTTCGCGTAAATGGTCAATCCGCCATGGATTTACCTGAGCATTTGAGAAGATTCTTGCATAAAGATGTAGCTCACGGTAACTATTGTCTTCATGGCGACTACCAAGCCAAAAAAAGTTTCAAAACCTATTCAAACTTGCATTTGTTCTTTTGCGAAAAGTTACAACCACGCGAAATCACCGATCTTACATAAAAAAGGCTTTTAGAATGAATAGTTGTTTACATTTCATTCGCGATAGTCAGCATTGCGCGGTGAGTTTCAAAGCCATTATTAGGCGTGAATAAGTAAGGCGGCATATAGAGTAGAACCAGTGCGAGCCTCTGCGAAGCAGAGGTGACGCAGTGGTAACTTATAATAACGGGCTAAGGGTGTTTACGTGACTTTGTGTGTGTGTCTGTCTGTCTGTCTGTAACGAAATTCATACAGCGGGTTCCAGCCAACATCCAGAGCTCAAATTTTGCATAGCGCATGCTACCAACGTAGAACTCCACCATGCAAAAGCACGAACGGATTCGCTGGGTGGGTCTTTCAGAATTTGCGCGTCAAACGGATCCACTTGGCTTCTGGCCCGCAAAATTGGGTCCGTATCAACGCTTTTTGCAAAGCCTGGATGTGTTTAGCAGGTTGATGTGTAAGTCATGGACTTTAAACCAAAAAGTGACCAAAGGTTTGCTACATTACGAAACGACGCCAAAAAGAAGTGCTCGCGTAAATGGTCAACCCGCCGTGGAACTACCTGAGCATTTGAGAAGATTTTTGCATAGAGATGTAGCTCACGGTAACTATTGTCCTCATGGCGACT